TGTACATCTTGCACTATGTGGACATACGTACGGAGATATATAACAATATCAGCGCGTCGCTAGCGTTGTGTGCGTGCCGGCGTAATGAGCGCCTATGTGCTAAGAAACAGTAAAAAGTGCGGCGAGCGCGGCGCGGAGCGGCAACATCGCGCGCGGCTCAACTCGCGTCGCGCAAAACAATACCAACTTTGTGATAAAAAAAAAATTAAATTATTCATTTATACATTATAACCTTGACTCGAATTCAACATCAAAAATAATTTTTTATTCAGTCAATATTAGATAACTTTTGCAATATTATTCCCTAATAATATTGAACAAATGGCTTTTTTCGCTCATTAATTAAATTTTTAATAAATATTTATAGGCATAGGCAATAACCTAAATATTAAAGAGAAGAATAGAATAAAAAAGAAAATATTGGTAGCCGATGTTGACCTTTCCGCGCCTAGCTCGCCGCCAGCTGACGCGCCGTTGCCGTTCCGCACGCGCTACGAAAGTTAGTATCTTCTTATCGCATTTATTCCCAGGGAATAAAGTCTACAATCGCTTAGCATAGAGTAGTACATAAAGTAGATACGACGTTTTGAAATGCACGTAATAACACTTCCCGCGCGCGAAAAATTCGAAATACTTTTTATCAGCAATGGTGTCTATACGTTGGGATATTTTACGGGATTTTGGGAAAATCGGCAATAACAGATTGTTTTGTTTACTTTTTATTGTTATTGCTTTTTAACAGTTCAAATTTTCATAGACTAAAACACGAATGCTTGCCTAAATATTAATACTGATTAGTGTGTTGAGTATTAATACTGATTTTTTTTTTAATTTCGATAAAAACTTTTATCAATGGTGTAAAACACGCACCAAATATTGAAAAAAAATCTCAATCGTCTAGACATTTATCAGTCGCACGAGTTTGTTCAAATGAGATAGACGTAACGCATAATTTTGTAACAATTACTATTTTGTATTATAATTGTTTTCAATATCGTGTATGTAATTTTATCTTACAGTGTTTTGTGATTACAAATATAACAAACCAAAGCCTCCAAAGAGTGTTACATATTTAAGTGTAAAAAAATATATATTTATTAAATTAAATTAAATTATAAGTGTGCTTAAAATAAATAAAAATAAGGTATTGGTCAGGGAGTATAAAGATCATCAAAGACTGTGTGTGATTACAAAAAAAAAGTGTGTCAAAGTACCAGGCTATCATAACTCATTAGGAGTGTCACAACCTGCGGTCCGTGTACTAAAACCGCAGTAATGGTACGGTGACAAAGTGGCCTACATGCCGGTGGCGCTGGGCTCGCTCGGCGGCGAGGGCGAGTACCGCGAGTACGGCCACCATCTCTCGCCGCACCATCCCCACCACGCCCCGCACGCCCCGCACCAGCCCCACGCGCCCCACCTGCAGTACCATGAGTACGCGCCGCCGCCGCCCATCTACCATCCTATACCGGACCCATACTTCAGGTATACCAACGACGCTCTATGATGTCCTGGTACTGCCACAACATATCACCCTACTTCTTTTTATATATTCCAAAATCGACTTCTTAGGGAACATCAAACTCAGAGTAGTTTAAAGTTATCACTAAGGAACTACCTTAGTAGTAATTGAAAGACCACAAAGTAGAGAATTCGGAAAATGTTACGACGACTTAGGAAGGAAATGATGCATAGACAGAGAAGAGAGTATCTTAGTGTAACTTTAGTATGAGAAATTTAACAGCTTTACAAATAAACGCGATATAAAGTTAAACTTGGAATAAACTGAGTATAAGTATATATAGCAAAATGTGTACTAACATTTGTTTATTTATTCCTAAGTTTATGTTTATACCGCGTTTATTTGTAAGACTGTGTTAGTGATTTAAGTAACTAATTAACAATACTGACTTTAAGTCATTAACTTGAAAAATTACAATATTCAATGTAACTTTTGGTTTTGGCATTCGTTAGATCTATGCAAGTTTTCTGTTACAGTGTATATAATTAACATCACAATAAGCTTGCCTTGATCTAAATATAGTCAATGAAATAAAACTTCTAACACATTTTATGTTACTGTCAACTTTAAACTTAAAAGTATTTCATACTAGCTATCGCACGCAACTCTGTCCGCCTGGTATTAAATAAAAAAACAAAGTAATAACCTATGATTTCCAGACTATGGTCTGCATCTGTACCAAATTTTATGGAGATCCGTCTAGCCGTTTAAGCTACAAACTCTAACAAACATCCATCCATCCATCTATCTACACTTTGGCATTTAATACTATTAAGTTAGTAAGAAGTGAGATTAAAAATAACTACAAACTCTTGCGCAGCATAATAAAATAACAATAAGCAATCTTAACTTGGTAAGGATAAGGTTTCAATAAAATAATAAATACCAGGATATCATAAGACAGATTGCAGCAAAAGCGCTCAAATGCGTTGCATATTTCATCAAAATCTTCACCGTCGTCAGAATTAGCATAGCCTTAATAGCTCTTAAATCTAATCTCATAAGATCTAAATTAGTTTGTACGTGACAATAACGGTGTTCGCTTGACGGGACAGACGCGTGTTGAAAGTGGAACGGAGTATGTGTAACAAACAAACATTGTTCCGCGTACTATTGATGTCAGTGGACAGTTTCTAGAACGTAGATCCTACCGTGTTATGTGAACCTGGTACTTTCGTGACTTTCTTCCTGGTGTTTGAAGACCTTCATTTTTGTCATTTCTGATAACATAAGACAATCTAAAAATGGATAAAACGGTTTTATAGTTTACTAGCTTTCACCTGTGACTCCGTCCGCGTAAATTAAAAAAACAACCGCTAGTATGTGTTGTTCCGAAGTATCCTCTACAAGTATGCCGCCTAATTTCATCGAGATCCTTCCACGTTTAGGCTACAAACACTAACAAACATCCATCCATCTAAACTTTTGCATTTATAATATTAGTATCTTCATAAAATATTTTACAACTGACCTTTTTCCATTAATTATTTATATTTTATTCTTCGTAATTAACCACTTTAAACTATGGTATTTTCAACGTAAAACTAAAAAAAAATTACCACAAATATTGCACAATTCCTTTAAAATAAACATTTATTCATAGTTGTCAAATTATTAGAAAAATCTCCTGTCATTTTCTACTGACATTGAATTATTTTTTTTTTAATTTCCAGAAGGCACGCGCCATACTTCGGCCAGCCAGATTACAGAGTTTACGAACTCAACAAACGGTTACAACAGAGGACAGAGGTGAGAATATTTTTCTTTTTTAATTATACTAGCTTTCGTGCGCGGCTCAGTCCGAGTTGAATAAAAAAAACTAGCTCTACAATCTAGTGCAAATGTCATCGAGATATGTTCAGTCGTTTAGGCGGCATATTCTAACAAACATCCATCCATCTAAACTTTCGTATTCATATTATAGTGTGTCTAACTATGGAATCGGGATCTTAACTTTTAAAAAGTATAAAAAAAAACATATTTTTGTCCCTTTTATTTTCACTTTAAAAGACAGAGACAGATAAGATGTTTCAATACAATGAAGACAGTAATATTTAAGTAACTTAATATACCATAGTTGTACCTCTTATTTTACCAGGATATCATAACCAATACAGATATATGTGATTCCAGGACTCAGATAACCTATGGTGGGACGCGTTCGCGACAGAGTTCTTCGAGGACGACGCAACGTTAACACTCACATTTTGTTTAGAAGATGGACCTAAAAGATACAGTAAGTATGCTTAGTACCCCTAGCTATTAGAACCCTCAACTATATTAGCTGGTCAAGAATGTTAGTGTAAAATTAATATGGAAATCAAATTAAAACACTCCTAGAATCAGGAGTGCCTATTCAAATATCTTTTATAGATTTAAGCGGTTTGATTTCTTTTTTATCTTGTAATTGTAAAATTTAAATTGGTAAGGATTAGCTAAAGTTATATTAGTAATATAAGAAAATGTGTTTTACTTAAAATATTGATGAATTTTACAAATGTTATGTGAAAATGTGATTTTGAGTAACATTTGGTCCTGCTCGAAGGACCAACAATTTTTTAATACAATATTTAGAACTGAGTAGTACATGAGATTAGTCTTTTTAGTATAATTATTAAGAAATTAACAGTGGTAGAGCCAGCAATAACATCTGTTGTACAAATGTACCTTCCTTGTGCGTGAGGGTTGAGGCCTGGACGAGGGGATGCGTAGGAAGAGGGAAATATCCTCATATTCTGTGTCCCTTCTCCGTCAATTATAGGCAACACATCTATAAATGGATATGCAGCGGTCCTTTCGCTTGTTCCATATTTTTTCTGTTATCCATACCCTTCACTTTGATATATAGCCTAGCCTATGTTACTCAGTGATAAGGTAGCTTTATAATGATGAAAGAATTTTTGAAATTGGTCCAGTAGTTTTTGAGTTATTCCATTATATACAAAAACATTTTCTCTTTATAGTATAGATTACCTGTTCCTCGGAACTTTGCGTAAAATTGAAAAATATATGTTACTCCCTGATAACATAGCTTTTTAATGGTGAAAGAATTTTTGAAATTGCCCCAGTAGTTTTTGAGTTTTTTCAATACATACAAAAATCTAAAAATTAAAACCTTTCTTTTTATACTTGTATAGGTTAGGTAGCTTTCTGATTGCGAATGAATTTTGTAAATCGGACTAGAAATTTTCGTGAATTAAATACATACAAAAATCTTTTATAATATCAGTATAGAAGAACATCACTAATTACTTTTTAATTTCCAGCAATAGGAAGGACGTTAATACCTCGCTACTTCAGAAGCATATACGAGGGCGGAGTATCCGAGTTATATTACACGATGAGACAGCCCAAAGAATCCTTCCACAATACCAGCATCACGCTGGACTGTGACCACTGCACTATGGTGACACATCACGGGAAACCAATGTTCACTAAGGTATAGCTACTAGACTATATATAGGGTAACAGTGGTGGTGCCCGCTTTAACATCTTAGCACTGCAGGGCACGCCCCCAGTAATACCACGACCATACAGAAGACAGGCGTGAAGTGGAAGCAATTCCATGTTTCGTCTGATAAGTGTGGTGCCGGAGGCCTAATTTAACTCCCTTTCTCTTTACCACCCTTTTCTTATGAGAGCATGGAAACAGGAAGTGGATTTGACGATGGAGGAGATACATAGGAAGAGGAAATATCCTCTTTATGTGCATCTCCTCCTCCGTCGGATAAGGGTAGGCAACGCATCTGCAATTGCAGATGTCTATGGGCAGCGGTTGCTTCGCCATTTTTGCGGATTGTGGTGGCCGCTTGCTTGTTTGCTATCTTATGTTATAAAAAAAAACATGAATGGATAAGATACGAAATGAGTATGTAAGAGGAAGTTTGAGAGTAGCCCCAGTTGTAGAAGGTAAGGAGTAAAAGGTTAGCAGGGGGGCATGTTATGAGGAGGGATGAATCGCATGTTACAAGGAGAATGTTAGTTATGAGGTGTGGACACCGGTAGACCTAGAAAGGGATGGATGGATTGTGTAAAAGGTGACATGATCAAAAAGGGAGATGACTGAGATGACGTATGATAGTTATGTGGAGGATAAAAACCTGTTGCGTCCTACGGGAGTAGGATAAGGAGAAAGATGATGATGATAGATCCTTGTCCTAGAGTCCTGCCCCGTTAGACAAATATTTTTTTGACATAGTGGGATTTTAATTATAATAAGTATAGTCGGGGAATCTTTTGGTGTTTCCTTATAAAAAGTTGTTTGAAGATAATCAATCAGAGACAATAATAACCAATCATACTAATATTATAAATGCGAAAGTGTAGATGGATGGATGTTGATGACGGGTTTTAATAAATTTTAATATAAATGAAGAGGATAGTCTGGAAGAACACATAGGCTACTCAGTTTTGTTGTTATTAAATTCTTCGAGACGGAGTCGCGGGCGAAAGCCAGTAGAATATAAATGTTGCTCAATATATGACTATAACTGCTACCTAATTGGTTATTTATAAGAGGCGAAGTTTATCATTGCAACTAGACATTTTTTTAAATTAAACACCGGAGATTTCCTTGACTGTACATAAATGTAGTAAAAAGAATAAATTACATACAGACACTCTATAATCTATATAAATATAGAAATATAGCTAGAAAACATTAATTTACGTTAAATTATTGCATTGACATTAGCGCCATCTATCGTTCATCTAGGAATTAAAATAGCCAGCCATATAAATGTTCCAAACGACATTTCCAGGTGTGTACAGAAGGAAGATTGATCCTAGAGTTCACATTTGACGATCTAATGCGGATCAAATCTTGGCACATGGCGGTACGAGCTCACCGCGAGCTGATCCCCCGGCAGGCGGTGCATCCTCCAGACCATGCTGCGTTGGACCAGCTCGCTAAGAACATCACCCGGCAAGGAATTACCAACTCCACGCTCAACTATCTCAGGGTCAGTATACTAGTGAAACAGATACACATATGTCCCTTTTTTATAATATAAAATGGCAAATGACCAAGCGACCTTAATCCACCGAAATGTAAAGCGACCGCTGCACATAAACATCCGCAATATCAACGCTGCCTACCCTTCATTGACGGAGACGTACATAAGGACATTTTCCCTTCCTATGCGTCTATTTCACCGTCAAATATACTTTTCCTTCCCATCCCTTAAGAAAAGGGTGGAAAGGGAAAGGGACCAAAATTAGGCCTCCGGCACCACACTCATCAGACTGTACGCGGAATTGCTTCCACTTCAGGCCTGTCTCATGTATGGTCGTGGTATTGCTGGGAGCGAGCTTTTAAAAGCCTTTTGATTGGATAACAATTACCGTTACCATGGCAACCTTGCTTTGATGTTATCTTGTAGTTTTTGTCTCTTTCTGGCATGACGGTCTTTTCCTTTACTCCCTAAGATTAGTAGCGTGAAAGCCTTTAACGAGTCGTAAATACTAATATGTAGCTTATTATTAGAAAAAAAATTAATCCAAAATATACTGTGATTGCTGACATTTTACATAACTCTAAGTATTTTGTTTACGCTTTATTATATTGGTATAGATATATATAAATTATGAAAATTTTATTTTATTGTTTACATTTGTCAAACTATCAATTACAAATGTCAAAATGACATGACATGATGACAACCTTGATTCCTTGATTTTGGCAGCAACTTATGGTCTCTTACCCACATTAGGGTTTTTATTCAAAATCATTACCCCCTAAGTTTAAAGGCGTGAAAACATATAGCCTAAAGCGTGACGTAAGTGCAGGGCTTTTTATTAAGAAAGGAATAATTCAAAAATATGCCTTATTTCTTAGATGGTCCCTATTTTTTCCCCGGCTTTCTCAACTATACTTATCTATACTATTATAATAAAGCGTAAACACACACTTCTTTGTTGCCTAAGATGTCAGCAATTACAACATATTTTTGAATTATTCCTTTCTTAATAAAAAGCCTTACACTTACGTCACGATTGCGGCTATATGTTTCACGCCATTATACTTAGGGGGTAAATATTTTGGATAAAAACACTAATGCGGGAAAGAGACCATAAGTTGCTGCCAACATCAAGGAAGCGAGATTTTCAAGGTTTGTCATGTCATATCATTTTGACATTTGCTATTGATAATTTGATAAATGTAAACAATAAAATAAAATATTCATAATTTCATGCGGATGAAGCCGCACGGGCACAGCTATAAATAATATTTTACCATTCAATTTATTACATATTCCAGTTGTGCGTGATATTGGAGCCCATGCAGGAGTTAATGTCGCGGCACAAAGCGTACGCGCTGTCGCCGCGGGATTGTTTAAAGACGACACTCTTCCAGAAGTGGCAGCGGATGGTCGCACCACCAGGTATGTTATGCTACCCTGGTACTTTTATGAAAGACTAGCTTTCGCCCGCGACTCCGTCCGCATCGAAAAAAACAAAAGTAAGTAATCTATGTGTGCTTCCAGACTATCCTCTACATTTATACCAAATTTCATTGAAATCCGTTCAGCCGTTTAGGCTACAAACTCTAACATACATCCATCCATACATCTAAACTTAACACATTCATAATATTAGTAAGAAGTAAGATTAGTAAGACTTGTTTTGTTTTGTATTTACTTTGTTGATATACTTGTATTAAAACATGTTGTTGATATGTATTTAGAAACAGAAAATTCATACTTTTGATTCTATAGTTTTTATGTATTTTATGTAGTAGTCATACTTCATACTAATATTATAAATGCGAATGTTTAGATGTTTATTAGAATGTTTAGAAGTGGAGAAGTTTACTGGACCAGACCCAGGCCCACCCGCGGCTGTAGTGCCTCAGAATAAGAAGAAGAATGTTTAGATGGATGGATGTTTGTTAGAGTTTGTAGCCTAAACTACTGAACGGATCTTGATTAAATTTGGTGGCATAGACATAGAGGAAAGTCTGGAAGAACACATAAGCTACTTATTTTCGTTTTCTTATTTCCAAGCGGACAGAGTCGCGGGCGAAAGCTAGTATTATATATTCATTTCATTTTATATGTATAGTTTTATTAGTTAAATATTAAAAACTGTAACAATTTCTTCCAGAATCACAACGTCCCGCGAGCAAGCGGCGCAAGCGCAAAGGCAGCGCGGGCGCGAATGCGGCGCCGCCCGCGCCCACTAAGAAACGCTCGCCCGGACCCAACTTCAGCCTCGCATCACAGGTACACACATAAAGACATCTATACTATTATAATAAAGCGTAAACACACACTTCTTTGTTGCCTAACATGTCAGCAATTACACCATATTTTTGAATAATTCTTTCTTTAATGAATTGCCCTACTTTTACGTCACGCTTTAGGCTATATACTTTCACGACATTAAAATTAAGGGGTAACAATTTTGGATAAAAATCTTAATGTGGGAAAGAGATCATAAGTTGTTGCCAACATCAAGAAAGCAAGGTTGCTAAAGTTTGTCATAGTAGTAGTAGGGGCTACGGTTTGTGTGAACAGTAAAATGAAATTCTTATAATTTTATGCGGATGAAGTCGCATGGGAACAGCTAGTTTAAAAATATATAGACGAGACGGTGAACATTTTTTCACCGGTACTTTCTCTGAAAGGTACTACAGTAGAACCTAGATAAGTTGAAAGTCCAAGAGAAACACAAAATATTTTAAGTTATAGAGGTTTCAAGTTATCAAGGGTCTATATTGCAGAGGTTTTGGGCTCTGAAGGGAAGGGAACATATTATTTTTTGAAGTTATAGAGGTTTTTATGTTACCAAGGTTTGAGTTATCGAGATTCTACTATATGTCAGCTGTCAAGTTTAGTGCCACATCATATATTGTCACGTAAAAAACATTTTACTAAATTATAATAAGCTCTATCTTTGTTAAAAAAATGAAATATACACATTTAAATTTTATTTAATGACGCCTATTATATAAATACAAATAATTATATGATCTATCAATAGACAGTTATGTGGAAAAATGTTTCAAATGAAGTGTCAACTACGCCTCCCTTGTATTTTTTTAAAATCTATCATACTTCTTACTAATATTATAAAATAAATGTAAAAGTTTAGTTGTATAGATGGACGTTTGTTAGAGTTTGTAGCCGAAACAGCTGAACGGATCTTGATGAAATTTGGTATAGATGTAGAGGATAGTATGGAAGAACGAATGGGCAACTAACTTTTGTTTTTTTTTTTTATTCCATGGATGTTTAAAGCTAGTCTTATAAAACTAATCTCATTATAACCAGGACGTGATGGTGGTGGGTGAACCATCACTGATGGGCGGCGAGTTCGGTGATGAGGACGAGCGGCTGATCACGCGGCTCGAGAACACGCAGTACGAGGGCGACGTGGAGTGGAGCGCGCCGCCCGCCTCGCCCGCCAAGACGCCGCCCGCGCCGCACTGACCCCCGCACCCCTCCACACACTAATATAGGATATTACAGATAATTGTATTTCATGACTTCTTATTTCATAACCCTTGAACCTCAAGCGAATAAACTATTCAGTTGTGGCTCAATCTAAACTTAGATGACGTAAAGTGCAGACTGCTGAGTTGTGGCTCAATCTAAACTTAGACGACGTAAAGTGCAGACTGCTGAGTTGTGGCTCAATCTAAACTTAGACGACGTAAAGTGCAGACTGTTGAGTTGCGGCTCAATCTAAACTTAGACGACGTAAAGTGCAGACTGCTGAGTTCAATCTAAATTTAGATGACGTAAATCAGGACAATCAGCTTACTTTCGCCTGCGACTCCGGTCGCGTGAAATTAAGAACAAACAAAAGTAAAGTATCCTATGTGTTCTAGACTATGCTCTACCTCTATGCCAAATTTTAACCAGATCCTTTGAGACATTTTGGCTAGAAACTTTAACAAACATCCATTCATCCATCCATCTCACATTCGTATTTATAATATTATTTATACTAATATTATAAAGAGGAAAGATTTGTAATTTGTATGTATTGGACTCAAAACTACTAGACCGATTTCAAAAATTCTTTCACTATTCAACAGATGTGTTATCACTAAGTAACATAGGCTACATTTATTATCATTCCTGGACGAATACACTAGCAACAGCTAGTCTATATTCTATTAATTTAAATTAGAAAGATAAGATGGATGGATGTTTGTAGCGTAAACTGCTGAACAGATCGCAACGGGACTAGAATTAATTTGGCGTAACTTTTTAGTAGATACGAAGAAAATATGGTTATAGGACACTTTTGTCGTTTTTGTGAATTTTACTGACTTTTTATGGTCCAAATACATTTTTATTAATTTCAATAAAAAAAGGATTTTTAAAACTTAATGTTTGTGTAATGGAACGCAACTCTGACCGCTTGGCATTTCTGTCACACGTCACTGCTGATGTTTTCAGAGAACGTTCGAAACACGAAATTAAAATTATTGACAATACGATTTAATAACAAAATTAAAGATAACTGACTTAAATTGTTTTCAATAAATTTATTTTTAATGTTAATCATTACAAACCTATATATTTTTTGAGGAAAATAAACTTCATTAAAATTGGATTTTAATTTAACAACATTTCAAAGTGAAAGTAAACACGTAACCGTGTATTTGAACGCACTTAGCTGTCACTTTATAAAGTTTCAAAAAATCTTCGATTTCATTTTCATTTCACCTCCAATAAGATTACGTGGACGATTTTATTAAAAAGTTGAATTAACTTTACATTTTAAGTCACAAGAGACAAAATGGTCACAAAATTCGTGCTTCTGGTTTCAGCTATTGCTTTATTTAGCAGTGCTAATGGCCAAAGTTGCCAAAACCCCAAAGTTGAAGCCGCATCGTTTACAAGTTTAGATGCGACTATCGTCACTCAAATTGCCTATATTACAGAATTTACCTTAGTTTGTGACAGCCCATTGCCTCCAAACTATGCGTTATACGCTGAAGTTGATGGAAAACCTTTAACAGCTGCTCGTATCGGAGAAAACAAATATCAGGTATGTGTTGGTTATCATTAAGATTGTAGATTTAATCCGTTACTGAAAATCTTTAGTTCCCTATTAATGTGTGAAACGATAACCTCAAAACAACTGTCTTTATTTAATTTAACTCAATAAATGACCTGATTCTTCCTTTAAACTGGCAGTAAATAAATAAAACAGTTCATATCATTTACTATAAAATAAAATATGCTACTAAAGCTAGAATAACAAATACAGAATGCAATACATAGATTTGTAGAAAGCAATATAAAAATAGGGTTGCTATCTTTTTGGTTTTTATGCATTTTCTGGTCTTATTGAATGTCAACAGCCCTAGTGATTAACACTCTAATTTTATTAAAACCAGGTATCATGGACTGAAGAACCAGCTGCCGCTCGCTCCGGCATGCATGAAGTAAGAGTACTAGACGAGGAAGGCTGGGCGTCACTCCGTCGCGCGCGCCGTGCTGACCCCACAGCAACAGTTGCACCTTTACTGGCTATACAGTTAAATCACCCTGGCAGTGAGTATTTAATAGAAATTATTATTAGGGGTACACTGGTTGAGGACTTAGAAAGAGATGGACGGATTGCGTGAAAGGTGACATGATCAAGGTAGTGATGACTGAGATGATGGATTATAGAGATATTTGGAGGACAAAAATGTGTTGATGAAGATGATGACTATCAGACACCCATCTTTAAGTGCGCTAGTGTGCTGCAACACCGAAATTAAAAAAAAAACAACACCAACCGTTTCATAAATTTATTAAATTTTGTACCAAATTACTAGCTGTTTCCCGCAGTATTGAAAAACAAAAAACTATTTATCTCTCAAGAAACCTGTAATGTTTCAGCGTTGAATTAGAATCCCAACAGTTACATCGGATCTCATCGGAACCATAACTGTTTCTGAATTAAAAAGTATCCTATGTGTTCTTGCAGACTAAGTACATATATGACTTTCAGCTGGATCCATTTAGCAGTTTGGGCTGCAAACATCCACCCATCTAAACAATTGCATTTATTTATTACTCAACTTATTATTATTATTATTATCTTACATATCTTTATTCTCTTATTTTTATATATAATACATTTCACATGATTTTCTTAAAAAAAATAACAAAATAAAACATA